ATTCCCCCCCTTTTAAATTTTTTTTTTTTTTTTTTTTTTTTTTTTTTTTTTGAGAACTCAGAGAAGACTTCTTGCTGGGAATCTTCGGATGAAGGGAAATTCTCTCATGACTTGTATCATTATCGTATTTCAACATAGAAACCATGGAGTACCCGTGGCACAATAACAAGGAAATCGAAGTTATCGATCAGATTTTCATCGTCGGTGTTATTCATGCTACTTTTGCTCCGCTTCAGCACCACCGACGGCTTATAGTCAACCATGGCTCACACCAAATTATGATTTTATAGGAACTCGCAAGGGAACCCTCAACAGTGTCTTGTCTGGGTATATGAACTGGTGAGAACTACAGACCTGCTTACAGTGAAGCTCTTCTGACCATTTTCGGACGTAGATCGTTGAGATAAAATGAGAGTGGTGTATAGAGAGGATTGATTTTGAATGGGAGGAGGATTTCTTAGGAATGATTTGGTGAGTTTTGATTTCTCGAGAACGTTGGAGAAGGTGTGATAGGAGTTTCATTTTGCATCTCTCTCTGTAATAAATTTGGAACCAATAATTGGGGGATTACTGCGTGGATTTGGGCGGGGTTTGGGTGAGAGATAATGGCTAATTGGTGCATGATTTTTGCATGTTTAAGGATTGATTGGGAAGAGTGAACAATTTTATATTTTCATTTGTACTGCATAGATTACAGTATTTCCAGAATAAAAAACTATGAAATGTAAAAATGATTTTTTTTTTTTTTTAAATGTTGTGCTGCCATTTCTAAACATTCTTAATAGTTTAAAATATTATTTTTTGCTTTGTACTCATCAATCATTTTCGATGTTGTCTTTATTATTTATATATCTTCGTGCTAACATTAACTTGATGTCTTTGTACATTTATAAGAGGCTTGGTTTGACTGAGATGAAGACGACCACGATATCACTTCAATTGATGAATAGATCAATTAAATACCATCGAGGTGCATTGGAAGGTGTGCTTATAAAAGTGGAAGATGTCATATTTCTAGTGGATTTCATTGTTCTAGATATTAAAGAAGATCTAGATCTACCAATAATTTTGGGTCGACTGTTCTTAGAAACTAGTTGGGTTTTAATTGAACTTGGAGGTGTAAAATGAAAGAGCTATGTTCAACGTGTTCAATTAAAAGCACTTGAGAAATCATCCAACTTTGAGGAACGCACTATAATTGAAATAGTAAAAATACATGATGGTTAAAAGTACAAGCCAAGAGTGAATTGAAGATGAAAATCTCAAACTGGGAGCGGAGATTGGAGGTGAAGAGTCCAAGCCGAAACCAGCAGTAGATAGACTTGTTGGAGCAAGATTTGATGAAAAAGGCAAAGGCAAAGTCAAGGTTTAGAAGGTGAAAGAAAGTCGTGCAAACCCAAGAAGTGCAAGCAATGCAAAGATTTAGCCTTCTTGAAGTGATTATTGCAAAAAATAAAATAAAATAATAATAAAGTCAATGACTTTAAATATGAATGAAAGACAACACATTCTCTATCTCTTGTTTTAATTTGACATTTTGTATTTGCATTTAGATTTTAGGATTGCATTAGAATAAAGTTAGAGCACCATGCACGTTTAGAGCTTTACCATTTATGTAATTTTTTCAGTTTAGTTTTCTCAATTCAACGTCCAATTCTAAGTATTATGTTCGGATTTAATGTAACAAGAAGAGAGAAATAGAACGAAGACTAGATAATTTTATTTGTGCACTAGTTTTTGAGTACTTTTAAGTTAAAAATTCAAATTGATCTTTGCCTAATTTTCTAGATTTTTTACGAACTAACTGAAAGTTAAGAAAAAACATCATGCATTTTTATTTGCGTGGTGATACCTACATGTCTAAACACTTTGATACATGGGATCAAAACTAAAGAAGTTGCATATGAATGAAATTAAGTCCATGTTTGTCTTCCATTAAATCAAATTTTTTTTCAAACTCATTTTCAGTCACACATTCACATAATAAATTATTTTGCATGTAAACTTAAAATTAATAACCAAATCTCCTTTTACTTGAGAAGGTGAAAAGTCTGCACAATTACTGAATCTAATACATAGTGATGTATGTGGACGTATGTCAATTAATGTCAGATAAGGTTTCTCTTATTTAATCATATTTACTAAAGACTATTTTAGAAATTGTCATGTAGACTTGATGAAATTCAAGTATGAAATTCTTGAAATGTTTAAGAGATTCAAGCTAGAAATAGAGAAACAAATAAGTAAATATATTCTCACACAAAGATCAGATCGAGGTAAAGAATTTCATATTATCTAAAAGAGAATGGGATTCTCTTGTAGTGGACTCCGCTATATACACCACAATATAACTGTGTATCTAAACGGAGGATAAAGTGGAGTAAATAACGAGACATACAAACCTCCCAAAATTGTTTTAGGGACATGAACTGATTGCAGCGTGCTACACATTAAATCGTGTCACATCTAAGTTGGTCGCAAAACTCCATACGAGTTATGGAAAGACAAAAGGCCTAACTTGTCACAAATTAAAGTTTGAAACTATGACACTTATGTGAAGCACACTAAATCTGATAAACTTGAGTCTAAATTCGATAAATGCATATTTGTGGGATATCCAAAAAAGATAATTGGATATCAATTATATAATCTCATTGAGAAGAAAGTCTTCTTCTCAGGACATATCGTATTCCTGGAGAAATAGTTCATTTTAGAAGAGGGTAGTAGGAGTAAATTAGAACTTGAAGGAGTTCAAGGATTCACAGATATAGTTGATTGAGTATATCAACCCGAGTTTAATCCCACATTTGTTGAGGGACATACTCTTGATCAGGAAGTAGAGACTCCTGATGATACATCAGCTCCGTGTAAATCCTGTAGGATCATTCGACATCTTAGAAGGTACGAATTCATCATAACTAAAAATGTATTTACTAATCGAGGAAGGTGAATCTACTAATTATGTAGAAACAAAGTCAAGTGTTGACTCAAAAAGATGGCAAGAAGCCATGGAATCTGAGATGAACTTGATGTACTGAACAAGGTTTAGACCTTGATCGACTAGCATGATGGGATAAAACCTATAGGTTGTAAATGGATTTACACGAAAGGTTGATATGGATGGAAACATCCATATATACAAAGCAAGACTAGTAGTAAAAGGGTTATAAATAAAGACAATGAGTTAGCTTTAACGAAACATTTTTGCACATAACCATGCTAGATTCCATTCGAATTTTGCTTGCAATAGCTGCATACCATGACTATGAGTTATAACAAATGGATGCTAAAACTGCATTCTTTAACATGAACTTATAAGAGAAAGTGTACTTGACATAATCCAAAGTTTTTGAATCCAAAGATGCTAACAGGATATGCAAACTTGATCGATTCATTTATGGATTAAAGCAAGCCTCTAGGAACTGGAATCTTTGCTTTGATGAGACAATCAAAAGGTTTGGTTTATCAAAAATGAAGACGATCCGTGTGTCTATAAGAAGATAGTGGGAGCGTTATCGTATTCCTAACATTATATGTAGATAACATATTATTAATGGGAAATGTCATCCATACGTTTCAATCACTGGAATTGTGGTTGTTGAAAGATTTCTTCATGAAAGATATGGGATAGGCAACTGATCTATAGAGATTGATCTAGAAGATTGCTTAACTCATCCCAATATATATAGATACAATCTTAAGAAGATTTTATATGGAGAAAATGAATTGAGAGTTCATGGATATACTGATCTAACTTCTACTTAGACTAGAAGATGGTAAGTTTCAATCTAGACATGTTTACTTTTGATTATAGAGCGGTTAGTTGGAAAGTTTCCAAACATGAAACAACCATTGATTCAATAGCAAAGCCTAATACATCATTGCTTTAAAAGCAGCAACAAGTTGCGATCTGGATTAAGAAGTTCATTAATGAACTTGGAGTAGTTCCTAACATTATTAATCACATAATTTATATTATGAAGACAATGGAGCCATAGCGTAAGCGAAGGAACTAAGGTTTCATCAATGATCCAAACATGTATTAAGGCAGTATCATCTCATCGAGAGATAATACAAAGAAATGACGTAAAGAAAGAACAAATTCCCACAATTGAAAATATTGCAAATCCATTGACAAAGAGTTGTCACGGTATAAATATGATTGACATGTAAACTCTTATGAAATTAGATACAGAAGTGATTGGATTTAACGTAAGTGAGAGTTTGTAAGTGGTATGCCCTAGGTCCAATCAACTTTAGACATAAACACTTTTAATATATAACTGATGCAATTTTATGATAGATCTATTATTTAATTAATATTCAATTAAATTAAATAATAGAGTCCGTAGATTCAAATCCTTATAATTTTTTAATGACAAAGAATTGTGATTTTGAGATACAAATTACATATGATTGAATTTTAAATCATCCATGATCGTAGGTAAGAACGAGATACTGATATCGTTATTATGGATATACCATCACATGTGGCATTTCTTACTTGTGAAGCAACTGATCTCACAAGCTAAAATGTGGTGACACTTAAATGAATACGTGGATGTTTTGTTATAGAACAAAACAATGTTTTGTTGTAGAACAAATTATTGGAGACCTGCTGGGAGATTTCATATGGATAACTATCTGAGTGTTGGTGGTTAATCTCTAACGTTCTGTAGTAAAATTGGTTCTTTGACTTGAGGTCATCATAGTGGTATAATGATCATCATACTTTGGTGATTTTGGATGTTGCTCTGCCAAGGGCCGCTAATACAATATCGTTCGGGTATGTCAAGAATCATATGACAGTTGTGAAAGACTAATAAAAGATTCGTCACTATTAGATAGTAAGATATTATGATCTACATTTTATTCAATTAAGTTGATAACGAAATCCTTGGCCAAGGTATATTCATAAGTCAAAAAGGAGTTTTCGACTTGTATTGACTTAATAATGGAATGAGAGATATGATCGATATAGTTGAGATTAACACATTTCTATATCTCATAATTGATTGAATCATATTAACGAATAGATTATAATTTTACAATAAGCGAATACATTGCTAGATGTCAATTTGGGACGATGTATGTGAATTGGTTATAAATTAAAAGGGGTATTTTAATTTATCGATTTTGATTGGATCAAAATAATAATGCACGTCGTTAGACATCGTGATCGAGAACATAATGAGTCACACACTAAAGGAGAACTAGAAGAATGAGATTCGTCAATTAATTAATTAACAAGTATTGGATATTTAATTAATTGGGTTGCTTATTAATAAGTCCGAATTAATTAATTGGATTAATTAATTTATGGACTAGATTTAATTAATTGAATTAATTAAATATTCGACTAAATTACGTTATGAGACGGGCTAAGCCTGTTTGTGCTTATATAAATAAGCTGCTAGGGTTTGAAATCGCCGAGAGAAAATTCATATTCTTGCTAGCACAAAAAAAAAAGTAAAAACTCTAGTTCTCTCAATCTTGTTCTCTGTGTGGATTTCCATTGGAGACTGAACAATTGGATAGTTGTGAATTAAAAAAAAAAAAAGTTTGCAGAATTTAACAAATGTGTAATTTTTATTATAATTTCTATCTAAACACAAAGCAGATCCTTTGTGGGAATTGAAATTTTGTTTAAATTCCACTATGCATGATTAAGTAAATTCGCAGCATTTATGCATGAATTTAATTAGAAGCAAGAAACAATCACAAGTAATTGAAGAGGCTGGAATCATCAGCATTTAGTTATATACAAAAAAAACTGATCACCCAAGAATTATTGGTTTTTGAAGAATGTGTTTCGCGCGGGTTAGTCGCTAACAATTAAAAAGGATCAAACGATTGTGTAAGGGACGAAACCTCTTGAGACAAAGTCCCAAAAAGGGGTGTTCTTTTATTGGCGATGACTTTACAATTGGAAATGAAAAACAACGTGCCTCCAAGGGGCGCAAGTACACGAGTTACTGAAAGAAAAGTGTTTAAGTCTAAAAACTAAGGAAATTAAAATTACATGTTCTCTGTTCGAGAGTTTTGGATTCGGTCTTTTGCTCTATGTTTTCTTCTCCCTTTTATACTTCACAGACGATCTCTTTGTGATCAACCGCCCTAAAACTGCTTAATCGTCCTATAACTGCCCACTTTCCTCATAATGGCCAACTTGTCATGAAAACTGCCTTTTTTAACTGCTGTCATTACTCTTCATCGTTCAACCGCTTTCAATTGAATTCCTTGAATCGTGGAACGTGATAGTGCTGCTTTAATAACTGCTTTGATAACTGCACTTCTTGATAACCACGACGCTTTATTTTTGCTAAGACCTTGGGCGACTTGAAGGTTTGGGCGAGAATAGGTAACAGCTCTGGGCGACTGTATGGCACTCCATTCGCTCAGATTCTGGGCGACTTGCAAACTTAGGCGATGGCATTACCGCGTTCTTGGGCCTCCCTATTTGGGCCTTCATCTTGATTTGTTCGATTAGATTTCGTTCTTTGGGCTATCTGATTTGGGGATTCTCCAATTGAGCTTCACTCCTTGGGCTGAAATTTTATGTGTCAACAATTACCCCCCAATATGGCAGAATTAATAATAATAATAATTATTAAATTTTGCCATATTCACTTCGTGTTTCCAGCAACATTCGAAATTCTCAAGAATTTCAATCATTGTTTTCTTCTATAACTTGAAAAGGTGCGTCGTTTTGCAAACCCTTATAACCCCCAAACACGTCATTTCACTGCACCACTAAATCATGCCTCAAATTTTTCGCGTCTCTCTCAAGTTTTACTGTTCATCCTTGCTTCCCTACTACGTAACCCTGAAAAAATTCGTTTCTTCTCAAATGGCTGCTTCACAATCTCAAACTGGCGACTCCTTCAGTTTCGATGACTTTCAGAA